AAGGGATCATTGAACGGGGACACGAAGGCAATGTTGGTGTTAATTTTTCATGAGTTGACTATGGGGGTCAATAATCAGTTATGTCGAAGATTCCAAATTTCTATAAATAAATGGCTCCTCAAATCGGTTGGAAACAAGGCCGTTTGAGAAAGGCAATTTTCCAAAACAATGTGTAAATACTTTAGGAGCAGATAAAGATATGCAGAGGCATTCTTTACGTCAACGCATCACATTCTTCATTCAGCTGAGGCTCTAATCCAAAGTGACTTGCAGGAAGTGAATTTGAACAAGAGGAACAGAACCAGACAGCAAGAACAAAGAAGAGATTTCTCCTTCTAAGAAAGCAACAATTTGTGAGTGTCATCCCAGGTGCTAATTCTTCAGTTGTAGTAGTAGGTAGGTATGTGTGTTTATTTTGTTCATTAGGGAACTCCTTCCACCATCAGGTGAACATCAGGAGTCAGGACAAATGATGACTTTGTTGGGAGTTTAGCTCCCAGTAGGAGAAACAATAGGCAGATGCTGAGATGGGAGTGAATTAGGGACGAGGATAGATTTCAAAGGGGATGCAGAGGTTGAAAGGTGATGGCGACTCATGGTCGAGGAGGGAGTGAGCAGACCTCCCTAAACCAACGACTGATAAGAGGAGGAATCCTGGGGAAGTGTCGGAGCCATAAAATCCATCCACAGGTTGTATTTCATCTCAGAGTCACCCAACAGGTTTAAGAATCACACACGGTTGGTATGGGGGGAATTATTTCACTATGATAAATTTACTGGCACATTTTTCCTCGAATACATGTGCATGGCAATTGTTAACTATGTTTTGCTTTTCAGTAGGAGCAGGCGACTCCAATGCGAGACGGTCCAGATCGGCAACGACACCCAGTAGAAACGGCGTTGTGGGGGTTTTACGACGTTGTTGGATAAGCCAGGAGGTGGCCTGGGGGTGATTAGCATCACCAAAGGCTATGTGAAGGGATGCTTTTACACCTACCTCAACATGAGGGACTGGGGGAGAACAGAATACAACTAGAGTATCTGCCGATTTGGGAACATTATTGTATGCAGTGAAAAACACAATCATAAGATTCTAAACAACAGAGTTGTGTAGATGACATTGATTTAAGGTGTTAAGAAGAACATACAGTCATTCTATCAATGAAACAACTCACAAATTGATTAGAATGTTTTTAGGAAAACACTAGATGTTAGAGTCTAGCTACTCAAGTGGCATTTTTGGGATAACAGCAGACGATGGCCAATGCAGGTAGATCCAACATGACTTTTCTTCCTGGAACGAATGTGCAATGACATTGCTCTTCTCATACACTGACACAAGGACTGATGAGACACACAGATGATACAATTACTCCACATTAAAAGAAATAGCTAAAACTGGGAAATAAGTGAGTGAAATGTTGAGTTCCAGTTATGTTTAAATATGCACACACTAGATGGTAGAACTTGTTGGCTTGAAGAGTTTGGTAAACCAGAAGAAAGAGCAACATGAATTGGGAGAACACACACACACACACTCACACGCACATCTAGACACACCTACACACACGAGCACACATAGCTGCACCGCTTGTGCTTCTCTATTCAACAGCCGATTGGGGAATCTTGTCCTAATGGGACCTCCGGTTAGCAGAGTAGTCTGCTCTCAGGAACTGAGGTGATCCGAGGTCCAAGGAGGGAGCGTGAAGCTTAATCACACGTCTAGGATGACAGCTACGTGTCATCTGACCAAACCGCTGACAACAACAGATGTTCCAGCAGAGGAACATCAAGGAGGAGAAGTATAGGCACACATACAACGAAGAAATCCACAAACACTGAGCTAATGTGACACAATTTCCAGATTAGAGAAGGAACGGGAACTGCTGGGACACTTGATAAACACATATGATAAGAATGTTCAAACAAACATACGCCAACGATATTACAGTAACAGAACTTGAGGATTTTGAATTCAGAGCGGCTATTCGGTTGCAATGACCAATCATCACCAAGATAAAACTAAGTAGCATTAGACACATTCACGGGGAACATTTGGACAGAAGGAGGAGAGAGAAGTCCACCATTTCATAGAATTGTGCCTATTCAGATAACTACAGCATTGTCTCGGTTGAAAGGCATATATCATAGTAAGAATTGAAAATAAGAATTGTTTTTAGGAGGCTGGGAGTTCTTGTATGTGTTGTTTCTATTTCACTCCAAACAGAGCTGAGATCATTATTCAATGCAGGTGGATCCACACGACAACAAGTGGAGAGATGGTGTCCATTTATGGAGGGAGAGTAAACTATGAAGGGCAGGGTCTCAACAATTGACCCACTGGTTATGTTCTCCTCCTCAACATGTGTTTTCAACTCGAAGCATCACTGTGGCACCGCCACATATAGAGCGGCTATTCTGTTTGATGATGTTATCCCTCCCGAAACAAACAGGGATGGGAGCATCACTTGAAAGACACATCCCGAGCTGCCCCTGGGGGTGGGGTGAATATATGTCCTATAGTGTTTTTTTCTTTAGTTTCAGATACCCTGTCCCTATATAATGTGTTGATACGTGTTGAACTTTAAGCGACTGAGACCAGATTCACTAAGAGATCCAGGGGGACATCTTCAGGAGGGTTTCCAACAGCAGCCATGTGGGAGAAAGATTGAATAAGGAATTATGTGTTACAAACTACACTGATTCCTCAGGGGAAACTCACGGTTTACCTATGACACTGATGCGGTTAACAGTAGACACAGTTACTGGTAGTTAAGATCACATCACCAGGAATAAAGACCACCAGAGAAAGCCTTAAGAAGAACAGATCAGACAGACAGATCTACATTAGTCTGAAGGTCACATAAATAAGCGAAAAGGATGCTAAGAAGGTGCCAAGGAGGGTGCCAGATGATGTTGAATTCCAGAATCAGATCACAGCTGAATTTGTGGACAATAATAAAATGTTGATTGGATGAAACTGCATTTAATGGCAGACAGGTGCTACAAATGAAGACCTGCATGAGTCATTGGATGAAATGAGACTCATGGCCTAGAATAATAAAGTGGCTTTAGACATGATGTTAGCTGGAAACGGTAACTTCTGCAAAATGTTTGGATCTGTTTGTTGTGCGATCATCTCCAACAACACAGCTCCTGGTGGCTTGGTGACCAGAGCACAAGCCCCACTGACAGCTCGAACCGGCAGCTGACAGACAACTAAGGCGACGACAATCCTCTCACCAACGGGTTTGTCAGTATTATTGCACAACGGAAAAGTGCATTCCTGTCTGCGTTAACCCTTCTTGTGTTACAGTCATGATCTAGTCCACTACGGATGAAGCTGCATCTCCTGCATCCTTGGATTCCTGCAGGGATTGATCGATACTGTGTTTAGTGAGACTAGTATACAGGGAAATCGGTAGCGAGTAGATGATGAGGGACAATCACTGTTGACGGATGTGACTGTATGATAATTTTTCTGTCTTTGAGGGATGCTCACAGTGAACTGTGAGCAAGGAGGGAATTGTTAGGGATTTAAGCCAGAAGTGCACCCCTAGTCAGGAAATTATAGTACGTGTAATAATGTTTAGTGTTAGAATTATAGTTTGTGTGATGTTAGATATTAGTTATTACATTAACATGTTAGATGAAGTGAATGCAATTTCAATCAAACACAATTCATAGTCATTTAAATCATATAAACACTGCAAACATTAACATTCTGTTACAATGTGATGTTAAAACCTGGGGACGGATGCCAATTGCCGTTCTTTATGGATTTCTCCCAATTTTATCCCCAAAGAGGGTTTTCTGGGAGTTTTTTCTCCTGTCAGGTAATAAATGAACAACTTAATGTAAGGCAGCCGACTGAGGCAAATGTCTTGAGAATTGAACCACATGAACTGTTTTAGATCTTATGATGAAGTGTGATGAACGGTGATCATTAGTGATGGGTTGTTGTAATGAAAGTGTACTAGTTATAAGATGAAGACTTAAACGATGTATGCTTTGTTGGGTTCACTCATTGAGGCATAAAGCCACTGTATCTACACTGAGTGCATTGGAATGTGAGGGACAGCTAGGGACAGAGAGGTTTCAGGTTACAGCTGCAGCTTCACACCTCGACGTGAAGGGGACAATGGAGGAGGTGACCCTTTGGAGAAGAGGCCAATGACATTCAAATGCACCAAAGAAGACACACCTCAAGAGTTTTCAAAGGACCCAAAGCGGGGAAAAAGACTGTTAGAACTTCTCCTGCAGCCGCGTTGATAAGTCACTTCAGACTTGCTCAGAGGATTCTCTATTTCGCGAAAATATTCCACTGTTCGCTTAGTATTTCACTTTGTAATTGTAATCCCTACTACGTTGTTTAGTCATTAAATACTTTTTGATTTTTGAATTTAAACGAATTGACTCATTCGTGTCCTCGTTTCCGGCCGGGACGAGAACAAAGGATTGAGTCCTCCCTCGAGAGCTTCCGCAAACCTTAACAGTCTCGAAATTCCGGGCTGAAGGAAGTGTCGCAACTCTCTTTTCCCGTGTCTCTGCAATGGGCCCCTCGCTGAAATAATGTTGGGATGAGCAGGAACTGCTGGATTTGAAGTGAAGTTTACATTGCAGACATCAAAGTGAAGAACATCACATTGTATTTTAAGCGAAAAGCAGATGAAGACAAAGAGGAATCAGGTGAGGGGGATTTGGAAGTTTCTTCACAAGATTTCGAGCTACCAGAAGCTGAGAAGAACCTTAGCGAACCGGCTACGGCCACGACTTCAACGTCCACTGGAGCCGGCAGAGGGAGAACATACAGGCCTATGAAAGCAGCCGGGCAACAGATGTCCTTTGCATTTAGGCGCAGTATATGCAGAACATTTGTTAATTAAACGAATACAATAAAAAAAACACCGTCCTCCTAAATGTCTCTGTGTGCTCCTGAATTCTTTCGTTTAGCAGCACATGTTCCCCTTTGGTAAAACATTGGCGAAGAGTCCTGCCCGTCAACACATTGACTCATTGTTTACAGTTCCAGGTTCGACGGTTGGTCGTCTCACCTGAGCGCTGTAGAGCCTCTGGGTGAAGACTGGTGGGTGATCATTGACGTCTGAAACCGTGATGGTGGCCGTCCCCGTCCCCGTCAGACCGCCTGCATCCCGAGCCTCCACCACGACCAGATACCGCTCCTCCGCCTCCCTGTCCAGCGACCGCAGCACCGTCTGGATGGTGCCCGTGCTGGCGTTGATGGAGAACAGGTCGAGGTTGATCTCGTTGCGGACGTTCTTGATGATGCTGTAGGTCAGTGCGGCGTCCTCGCCCTCGTTGGGGATGTCCAGGTCCACGGCGCGCATCTCCATGACGGATGTGCCGGCGGGCGAGTTCTCGGCCACCCGGCCAACAAAACACCCGTCCGCCTCCAGCGCCGGGCACGGGAAGAAGGGCGCGTTGTCGTTGACGTCCGTGACCTCCAACAGCACGTCGGCGAACCCCGTGAGTCCCGACCCTCCTTCGTCCGTGGCGAGGACGAGGAACCTCCAGGCCGGGCGCTCCTCGCGGTCCAGCCGCCGCTGAGCGAAGATTCTTCCAGTGCGCTCGTCAATAGTGAACTCACCGCCGGCGCCCTGGCCATGGAGGGAGTAGCGCAGGGCGGTCTGGTCGGCCTCTTGGTCCGGATCCACAGCCGACACCTGCAAACGACCAGCAGACATGAGTCTGCGTTCCACCACACAAACGCCCGGTTGGCTGTGACGGTTTGTTTCGATGGTCCAAGACGCCACGTTGAGGCAACTTAATTTATGCACCTTTTAAGGGCGCGGATAAAAAAAAATCAGGCAGGTCCTAAAGTTTAATTTAAAACTTTCTAATCTAAATAGATTCATATTTTGAATCTCCAAAGCTATATTTACTTCATGCACTCGCTTAACGGGACCCCCCCCCCCCACAGGAATAAACATTTCTCTGTTTTCACTTTGTCCCGTTTGCTTAATCAACCCGCCGTCTCTCACAGCAACGCCGGCCCTCAACATCTGTCGCAGGGAGAAGTTAAATGTTAATGATGTCAGCAGAGGAACGTTTTCAGACGTTCTCACGGAGAGCTTGTTCACAGGAGCCCGACTCCCCGCGGCGGAGGTCGGCCATATTGAAGATCAGCCGAGAGGAAGCGACGGCGCAGGTGGAGTCAATGTCGATATCTGCTGAAATTGAGTTAAACACGGAGCTCAAGCAGAGAGCGACCGAGGAGAGGAACCGAAACACGTCAATCACTTCAGCAGTGGATGACGGGGGGGCGACTACTCCACCCACCTCCACCTCCCAGACCTGATTCACATCACTGAGAATCACAGGAGAGGTACAAGAAGAAGAAAAAGAAAAGGAGGAAGAAGAGGAACCAGAAAATAAGGAGGAGGAACAAGTAAAAGCGTAGGAAGAAGAAGCATCAGAAGAAGGAGACAAATAAAGGGCAAGAAGGATTATCAAGAAGAAGAGGATGAGGAAAATGGAGAAGAAGAGATGAGGGTTCTTAGCGGTCTCCACCAGAGGAGCTCTCACATGTTCAAATCAAAACCACATGGGGCCAGTGAGCCCAGTGAAACCAGAACCTGAGACCACCGACCTCCAGCACCTCCACGGGCAGCTGGCTGAGCTCCTCGCTCACGGCGGCGCGGTACTCCGTCCGGCTGAAGACGGGCGCCTCGTCGTTGCGGTTCCCCACCTGCACCGTCACCAGCGTCTCGTTCTCCCACTTCCCGTCGGAGGCCACCAGGCGGAGCTCGTAGCGCCGCTCCGTCTCGTAGTCCAGCGGCCGGCCCATGAAGACGGCGCCGACCTCGGGCTCCACGTGGAAGGCGCCCATGTGGTTCCCAGAGGTGATCTGGTACCGCATATTTAGAAAAAAGGAAAGTCCGCACCGCGACCTTGAATCGAAGCGAAGCCGCTCGCCAGACGGAGAGACGACCTCCTCCCGGGGGGGTCACGGCCCCGAGGGAGGAAGGGTGGAGGACGCCAGGAGGAGGAGTGTCAGGGGGGAGATTGACAGGCGGTGAGTCGTGAAGGTCGGGAACCACCGCCGGTGAGTCTCCCTCCTCCTCCGTTTACCTGAGAGACGTCTTTGTCCCTCATCCTGCAGCGAGTCCTCCGTCCCACCACATATTAGGACATTTAAACTGGTGCCCAGTCTGCCTGAGCGGTTTGTCCCTCCGTAGCAACGGAGCACGAGCAGCGAGTCTGCGTCTGCGTCCCGACCAAGACGACAGCTTCTCTCTACTCGCGATGGACCGATTCCCCCGATGAGCAGGACTTTTATTTTGAAGAGAAACTGCTCAGAGGGATTAATGAGACACATTGAGTGAAGCTGGAAGAGAGCAGCCGAGTGTGATGGGAGACAATTAGAGAGGACACGTCAACACACATGAACAGACACCACGATGGGCAACAGCCCGAGGACGTGTGTGTCTGTGTGTGTCTGTGTGTGTCTGTGTGTGGGGGGAGGCAGTAAGCAGATGTGCAACATCTCTCACATGCATGTTGACAAACACAGATGAGGTTTGTTTGTGTGTTAATCAGCAGGAGGAAGATACGGACAGAGACAGACAGACAGAGACAGACAGACAGACAGACAGACAGGCAGACAGACAGAGACAGACAGACAGACAGACAGACAGAGACAGACAGACAGAAAGACAGACAGAGACAGACAGACAGACAGAGACAGACAGACAGACAGACAGGCAGACAGACAGACAGACAGAGACAGACAGACAGACAGATAGACGGACAGAGACAGACAGACAGACAGACAGAGACAGACAGACAGACAGACAGACAGACGGACAGAGACAGACAGACAGACAGACAGACAGACAGACAGACAGACAGAGACAGAGACAGACAGACAGACAGACAGACAGACAGACAGACAGACAGACAGACAGACAGAGAGAGAGGACATTGATGTCCTTGTGGGACAGACAGTAACTTACGCTACAAATATGTCTGAAACTTTTGTCAAAGTGGAAAAGTATGAGACAAAAACACGTCCAGTTACTCGCCGTGTTGCGCGACTCCGGCGGTTACATGAATGCGAGGATTTTCAAAATAAAACTCTAAAGCCACAAACGAAAAGCAAAAGCTGAGAAGATTTAAAAACCTGTTAATTGCTGAACTTTTGAGGTTTATTTTTGGAATCATTTGAAAACCGCTTCACAGCTGTGACTTGTTAGCGGGTCCAGACGAGCACTGAAGATCGTGCTGGCAGCCGAAAATATAAAAATACTGAACAGTTCAATCCCCAGAACAGCTCATGGTTCATAGCACGTAGCATGTAGCACGTAGCACGTTGTGTGTTGCTGCACTGCGTGTCGATGGCTGCAGTCCGGATGACCTTGTCCTACTTGGTGATTGGTGTCGCCTGAGGCAACAGCTGATTGGCTGTCGATAAGCTGTTAGCTCAGCAGATAGAGGAAGAGGGGCGGGGCTAGTGGGACCAGGTCACAGATCTGCCATCATTTGCTTTCTCCGATCGAGTTCAAAGCCCAGGGGTAGCTTAGCATAAAGAAACCGCTAGCCTAGCTTAGCTCAGGGAACAATACACCAACCACCAGCAAGTGTGTTAGCCTCGTAGCTAACACACTTTAGCTTCTCCGAAAACAAAGAATGTGTTTTTAGGGGTTAGAAACTCGTGTTGCGACTACGATCTGTAAAGAAACAAGTATGTAGCTGTGATAGCTACTATTGGCACAGCTCGCTAAAAATGAATGGCAGACGACATCGTGCTAAGCTAAGCTAATCCACGTCTTATTAACCGCGCTGTTCACCAGCTGACGTGTTGCTGTAGACGTTCACATTTTAACAAGCTGCAGAGTTCAACACTGTTGATGTGGAATCTGATGAATATGCAACAATATTTATGTGTGTGTGTGTGTGTGTGTGTGTGTGTGTGTGTGCGCGCTGATTTGTTGCCTTTTAAAAGGGTCATTCTGACACACACACACATTAAAGTACCAACAAATAAACACACACACTGACATGGTGATCAATGAATACGACAAATACTCAACCTCTGCGACTCCAAGCAGGCTCGAGTGTATATTGTCTCTCACACACACACACACACACAGTCACGCACAGACACACACACACACACACACAGTCACGCACAGACACACACACACACACACAGTCACGCACAGACACACACACACACACTGGTTGTGGTGCGATGGCAGGTTGCTTGAGGCTGCATCCAGAAATAAAGACAATAGAATAAACAGGAGGGGAAAACACGGTTTGTCACCTCGGGGCTGCCAAGCGCACAATATCTGGAGGACAGAATGACACACAAGAGCCATGTGTGTGTGTGTGTGTGTGTGTGTGTGTGTGTGTGTGTGTGCAGCGGAACAATAAATAATAGTTAGGAGCGAAGCTGCGGTTTAATGAAGGAGCTGCATTCATTCTTCATTTAAATATGCAAATCCAGCTGTTTCATTTGGTTAACGAGGCCGTTTGTGTTCAGGTTTAATTCTGTTACGTCCGACTCTTAATTAATATTAATACATTTCATTTATATGCAGTTTTTTTTAAAAGGGCTCAAGGCACTTTTACTTTCTTTCTTGCATATGCATATATATGTGCATATATATATATATAATTATATAGACTAAGTGAGTGTCTCGAGTTGTTGAAGGGTCGAGGTGAAGAACAATAGAACAATGAGCTATTTGCTGTCTACCAGGATTAATTGTTTTTTGTAATCACAATAAACGGCAGAATTAATAAAGTGATGATGCAGATTAGTCAAAGGTCTGAATTCACGTTTCACCAGGACGAGGATTAAGTAACTTCTAAGTGGGTTGGATGGATGTGAAGCAGGACGTCAGTGATGTCACGAGGAGCATCTCATCTCTGATTGGCTGTACGGACGCAGCATCACTCAGTGGCAATAAGCCAGCGGTGACTTGGACAGTTGTCTCCTGAGTCCTGAGCACCGAAATGATTCATTGTGATTTAATCCACTGATTTAAATGTTTACCCCCGATTTAAAACACACACACACACACACACACACACACACACACACACACACACACACACACACACTCCAGGTGAGCAAACACCACTGATTTCTATAAATAAACAGCGAGGAGGCAGATCAGAGGCTGATGGGTCATGTGACCGCCGTGACAAGCTGCCCTCCAGATGTGGGGGGGTTTGGTTAGCTGACCGTTTACTCTGGAATGGGGGGGTCGACCTGTCAAACTGCTGCAGTGACATTGAATCGGTTTCTTTGTGTCAGTTCACTTTAAACTAGAGACATAAAGTCACGTTTACGGCGTTCACTGGGGGAATAAATGAGGAGAGAAGTGGAGTCGTTTTCTCTTCTAAACCAATCCCGTCCTCTGTTGGTGACCAGCTGGTTGTGTTACTGTGTTACTGTACCAGGTAAAGATTCTGCTATTCACGGTCACGATACCAAAGACCGGCGCCGATCAATTCTTACACTTCTCTGAAAAAGTAGAAGCGAGTAAACTGTGAATTCTGTGATGAGACGTCGGCGCTTTTCATGAAGTACCGGTATCGTTTCTAAACGGGTCGTTTGGCACCAGAACCACCAGAACAAATGAAACAACGCCATCACTACCAGGGAGTCAGGGTCAGGTTACTCTTCAGAGCGCGTGTGCGTGTGCGCGTGTGTGAGGAGGGGCGGTTGAGGTCTATTCAAACGAGCCCACACACGCACACGCACGCACGCCAGCAGCAGCAGCATAAGAGGACGCTTCACACCGCTGACCTTTGACCCTTGCCGGGGCTGAACTGCTGGCCGGTGAAACGTGGCTTCGTAACGAACATTGCAGAACATCGATATTCAGCGTGGAGATGAAACCAAATCCACTGACATCCAGCAGCATCGAACCGGAGCAAAACCCGCTCCTCTTACCTTGCGCGTTGTGGATCTTCACCAGAACCTCAGCGGGCTCCGGCAGCCCGCGCGTCAGGTACAGACGCCCCGAGTCCCGCTCGATCCGGACCGGCGGGTCGGCCTCGGACACCACCTCGAACCAGCGCCGCTCGAACCTCCGGTCCGGCACCGTGAAAACCAGGTCCCGGACTCCAACATGGTCCGGTACGGTCACGGTGTAGGTGAGCTCCTCGGTCAGAGCGCGCGCGCGCCGCGGCGGCGGAGCGCCGCCGGACCGGCGGACCTCGACGCGCAGGAACGCCGGCTCGCCCACGCGCGCCACTTCTCCGCCGTCGCGCGCGAGGAGACGCAGAGTCACGCGGCTGACACCCAGCAGGGACCCGACCAGCCTCACCTGCCCGGTCTGTGGCACCACGTGGAGCAGGTGGGACTCCGGCGCCGCGTAAAACCTGACGCGTCCGTTCCCCTGCGCGTCCCCGTCCGTCGCGTCGAAGCGGGCCAGCTCGGTGCCGAGCGGCGTCAGCTCGTCCGCCTCCACCGTCTGGTTCGCGCGGGTGAACCGCGGCACGTTGTCGTTCCTGTCCGACACTTCGACCCGGACGGCGGCCGGTCGCCCGCGACACCGCGGCGGAAGCTCGACCGTCAGCTCGTACATCGCTATGAACTCCCGGTCCAGCGCTCTGGCGGAGACCAGCCCCAGATGCCCCAGATGCCCCAGATGCCCCGGGCGGTCCCCGCGGTGGCGAATGAGCCTAAAGTCCGACGCGTATTCCCCCGTCAGGCTGGCGTTGAGGTCCGCGCCGGGGCAGCCTCCGGCCCCGTCCGGTAGCAGCACCCCCTGCACCGGCGTCCCGGCCGGGGAGTTCTCGGCTATTTGTCCGTAGTAGCGCGCTGGACGCCGCGGCCGCGCGGACAGAGACTCCGCGGGGGCGTGAAGCAGCAGCAGGAGGTGGAGCAGGAGAACCGGT